CAGTGTGCAGTGCCTGGTCTCATATTACAAGTTCCTGCTTTATGCTGATGACCTGGTCCGGTTGTTGTTCACAGCACATGGGGTGCAGAACAGCTTGGCACTTCCAGACTGGTACTGTCAGACCTGGGCACTGACAGTCAAATAAATACCTTTGTATTACAAATTCAAATAAAAGATATTTACTCATTTTTATATGTAAGGTAATGCTTTAGTAATCCAATATTACATGTGTTCAGTATGATCTAATCAGATCCTGAAACATACAGTATATGTACAGCTGGTAACACAAAATGATGCTGATATAAGGAGAACTACAGTATGGGTGGCAAACCTTTGCCAAGAGGAAGGAAATAATATTAACAAGACCAGGAAACTTACCCAAATCCCTGACAAGAAGACTGTAGTCGCTTTCCAAAATTGTGTAAAATTCATCTTTCACTGCTGCTCCTCCAGAATCCAGGACCATATACAGCTCTCTCATTTTATCCTGAGTGGTTGTAGCAGCAAGTACCCTGGAGTAGCTCTCCTGATGGATCATGTTTTTTTTTAGCAGCATATCGACTATGGGTTCAACTGGGGTCACTCTCTGAATGAGAATGTCCCTGTGCTGATCCACAAACTCAGCACCTGTGGTATCACAGCAGGGAGGAAGAGTGGGAGAGAGAGAGGAAAGAAATAAAGAAAAAGAAAGAGAGAGCATAGGAATTTTATGACATTTGGACAAATGTATCTGGAATGTTGAACAATATCTCATACAGTATAAACATCTCCAAAAGTGTAGCCAGAGGTTGGCTTTACAAATACCAAAACCTAAGAAAGCTAGAGTAAGCTTCTTGTGGTATTATATGCTTTCAGCTGGGAAAAAAACTGCAAACTATAGTACTTTGTATTAAACTAGCAAACCATAAAAGAGTATTGCAAAACATTACTGAAGGGAATGAAACAGATTGTGACTACAATATGAGTTGCAAAAAATACAACATATTTGAAACTCCATCTGGATCAACAGCATGCAGTGACCTTTGCATTGATATGACATCTGATTTTTTTACATTGTAGCTAGTCAACAAAAATAAGAGAAAATGAAGCAAAAAAAAATTACAACATGGTTATTAGGGAATTACTATGTGTATGTCTTTGGCTAGTGCATAATGTATAAGAAGTAAGCTTCTCTTTTAAAAAGTTGAGAAATGTAACTACCTCTGTTCATGTTTTACTTTGAAAATGTTAAAGTGAGTGTGTAACATTGTGTGCTGTACCATACATTTCAAAGCATGTAATAGTCGTCGGAATTGAATGTTCTTTAATTAAATTTAATTTGATTGTAGCTGGGTCAGCTGGTTAGTTGTGTGTTTAGATGCGAAAATATGGTGGTAACATATTAAACCAGGTGTTCCTTTTTACTTTTACAGAAGAATGTTTGTAGATCGAAAGTTCTGAGACAAATCTGAAGCACGGAACAGGCATGTCACTTTGTTAGCATGATGCTAGCGTGATGTCATTAGTATATCACATGCTGACCATAGAGATGGGTGACATGAAGACAGTTTGCAGAAAATTGTTCTTAGATTGTTAATTTTTGACTGAAATAATATAGTGTCACTGCGATAAAGGATATATGTATTGCATGTCCTGTCTGCTTTTATTATGCAGTATTTTTAAGTAACTTTTGCAATATTTGTCTATAGTCATTGCAAATTCACTTAAGGTACTGTAGGTCTGCTAGATAAATTAATAACCTTGTTTTGAGTACTTTGAAAAACATTATGAAAAAGTTGGTATTAACATACATATTTTTATTAGAAAAGATTAATATGATGTCTCTGTGCAAGATTATTTATCCTTGAGCAAGATTATTTATCCTATGTTGCAATTATGCCCTGTGTTTGATTTTTGGGAATCAATATACTTTTCAAAAAAGAAATAATGCAATTAGGTGGTAGTTCAAATGAAAACATTTATGGTATGAATAATTCTTGGCATTACATTAATGAAAATTGAAGTTTACATGATTCTGTTATAGTTATTTTGTTTTACACTACTCATTGTCTTTGGTCTTCCACAGACTGGGATCTTTCTGTACTTTGGAAAACTAATGAATACAGTCCACTATTCCAATTTAATAGATTGTAATAAATCCTTCAATTTCCATTTTAAGATTTTTGTCAGAGCTTTCATGTAAATGAGCTCACAGTTATTACATTTTCGTAGAGTAACATAATGTTCTTAATCTGCCTTATGGACTTGTTCCTTGCTAAACATGGTGAGTAAAAAGTAAAGACTATCAGATAAGAATAATCTTAACTGTAAATTCAGAAAGAACTGAACATAATTTTCTAATATTACAAAAACTTTGAAAATGAATTAAAATAAAACATGTATACATTTTATATAACTACAGTAAATTATACAATCGTCAACTAAATCAAGACTATGTGACTACAATTTGACTATATTTAATAGACATTTTAGTTGACTTGATTAAGTCTATGAATAAATTAAAAAATGATGGTTAAATTAATACTATCAACTTGAACAGGATTTGGAAATGCACGGTGATGTCTTTTCTTATGGAATGGGGGTTAGAGTGGAGCAGTGAGGGAGTGGGGTGATGTCATTCATGCAGCCCAATGGCGAATGTCACGGTGGCTCTGGTGAGTAGTTTGATTTGACAGGCCATATAACAAAGGACAGACTGGAAGCCAGCTTAGAGAAGCAGGACTGAAAATGGATTCAGCTGCTGAATGATTTGCAGTGCATGACACTAGTCACTAGAATTTCTTAATCCACTGGTAATGTTGAAATAGGAACTGATGATGGCCAGTGCATTGGGGGAGACAGAGAGCA